CCTCTGGCCCACGGGTGTCTGGGCCTCGTGCTCCTCGTGGTGGTCGTGGGCGGTGAGGAGTGCCCTTCGAGGGCAACGACAGGGGCAAAGGGGGGATATAACCCTGGGAAGCAATCAGTAAACCCCCCTCCCCCCCCCCCCTTCATCAGAGGAAATTATAACGCTTCCGGCACCGGGGCCGGGGCGGAAGCGATAATTATCCCCCGCAGGTCACCAGAGGTCCGCGGAGGGGAGGTCCCCGGAGGTTCCCAGGAGGCATCCAGAAAGGCCTCCACAAGCCTCTGAATGCCCGGTCCCGTTGTAGTCCAGAGCCCAGCGACAAGGCACACCTGCCCAGAGTCGCTTCCTGTGATTCTGTGCGTTTCTGTGAGATTCCTCAGAGATTCCTCTGATACTCCGATTGGCTTCTTTTGAGATTCCTTGCCGTTTCCATTGTGATTATTTTGGGGCTCCTTTGAGACTCCTCTGGTGTTCCTTTGATGTTATTCTGAGGGTCCCTTGAGGCTCCGGTCATATCCCTTTGATGCCCCATCCGGGGCCGGTGGATTAATTTATTTTTAAAAAATGTGCTAACATATCGCGGGGGGGTTCGCGGAGTGCGTCTGCGAAATCTCTCCGTGGACTCTCCCATAGGATCCCCTGAAAGAATCAATATGTGATTATTTTGGGACTCCTTTGAGACTCCTCTGGTGTTCCTTTGATGTTATTCTGGGGGTCCCTTGAGGCTCCGGTCATATCCCTTTGATGCCCCATTTCTCAAGAGAGCATCACATCGACATCCAGGGCCGGTGGATTATTCTATTTGTAATAAATGTGCTAACATATCGCGGGGGGGTTCGCGGAATGCGTCTGCGAAATCTCGCCGTGGACTCTCCCATAGGATCCCCTGAAAGAATCAATTTCCCTAGTGCGGTCGCAATAGGGATTGCTTATGTCCACGCGAGCCCGCGTTTTCCAAATGCCTTAGATTCCTTTGTGGTTCGTTTGAGCTGCCGCTGAGATGCCTTTGACATTTCTGTTGGGCTCCTTTGAGATTGCTTTGAACTTCCATTGGTTCCTTCGATATCATGCGTGCGATTCCTTGTGATATTATTATGGGATTCCTTTGGGGGTTCTTTCAAGCTCCTCTGATATTCCTTCGACATTCCCTGAAGGGAGCATCACATCGACCTCTGGTGCCTGTGGATTATTTTATTTTCAATAAATGTGCTAACATATCGCGGGGGGGGTTCGCGGAATCCGTCTGCGATATCCCTCCGTGGACTCTCCCATAGGACCCCGTGAAAAAAACAATTTCCCTATTGCGGCCGCAATAGGGTTTGCTTATGTCCACGCGAGCCCGCGTTTTCCAGATTCCTTAGATTCCTTCGTGGTTTGTTTGAGCTGCCGCTGAGATCCCTTTCTGCGATTTCTGTGGGGTTCTTTTTTGAGATGATTTTGAATTTCCAATAGCGATCCTTTGAGATTCTGCGTGGGCCTCCTTCTGAGATTTCTCTGGGATTCCTTTGGGTGGTCCTTTCAAGTATAGTTACTTGCGGTGATTTCATTGTTTGTCATTTTTGATTTACCTTTGATTTCCGATGCGCGTCAGTTTCCCAGTGTTCTAGCAAGGCAGGAATGCATTGGAAAGCGTTCGTGCGCGTTGGTTCTTCAAGCTGTCGCCTCGCGTTGCCGCCAGCTCCGGGCCCGGGGGGGCAAATTAATTAATTAATTATTTTATTCATTTTTAATGTGCTAACGATATCGCCGGAGGGCGCCGCCCAAATAATTATTTATTTTATTTTCTGTGCTAGCGATATCGCCGGGGGGTTTACTGTTTGCTTGCCAGGGTTACATAGGGGGGGTAGGCACAGGGGGGGATAGGCATGGGGGGGATAGGCACTAGGGGGGAGAGGCATAGGGGGGATGCATCGGCCCCCGATCGCCCAATGATCGCCCACCGATCCTCGTCGTTGTCGTGGGCGGTCAGGAGTGCCCTTCGAGGGCAACGACAGGGGGGGATGGGCACAGGGTCGGGCGAAGAGAACGATGCACATACACCGATCCTGGCAAGGCCCATCCTTGACCCAGGATCGGTGCATATGCCTTCCTGGCCAAGGTAGGAGGGCGTATGCCCGAGCCTGGGCTCAGGATGGGCCTGGTCAGAATCGGTGTATGTGCATAGTTCTTTTTCCTCTAATAGGGGGGGATGCATCGATCCCCGATCGCCCACTGATCGCCGATAGGGGCCCGATAGCCCCAACCTGCACGGGAAGGTGCGGGCTCACTATCAGGGGCCTATCGCCGATCAGTCGGCAAAGTATCGCCGATTCCAGGTCGATGCACCCCCCCTGTGCCAGCCACCCGGTGTCACCCCCTATCGTTGCCCCTCAGCCCTGGAAGCGCCAGAGTTAAGTCGGGCCTGTTACAGGAGGAATGTCCAGCAGTAGTCAAAAAGTACCCGGGAGACGCTTTTTTTCGACTGTTTTGGGGTATGTTTTGACTATTTTCTATTTTTCGCCCAAAGTCCGCCTGTAGGAGGACATGCCCGACCTAAGGCCAGAGGCCCGTGGCTTGCGGACCATCTCCTCTCCGTCCTCGTGGTGGCCGACGGCCTGCATGTCCATGGGCACCACCTTGTCATCAGCATGGTTTCTGGGCGGGCTCTGTGGCTTTGGCTGTGGCCCTGGTGGCGAGACCTCGGTGGTGCCCTTCCCGTCGTCGGTCGTGGTCTTGAGGAAGATTCAGCCCTCCAGCACGGCGCACACGATGTGGGGCTCGCTCTGCTCGTCGCTCTCTTCGTCCCCGTCGTGCCTGGCGTCGCTCGCCTCATCGCTCTCGTCGGCGCGCTGCTCCTCAGTGCCTCCGTGGTTGGCGGCTTCTTAAAAGGCCACTGCGAAGGGGCGTATCGGCGGGCATGGTGTACGGCGGCGTCCACGACGTCTTGTTCATGGCTGCGTGGTGGTAGTAGCGTCGCTCCTTCTGGTCAAGGTAGCTGATCCAGCCTTTTTGGCAGGGAGGCTGGTTGTTGTACCGCCTCTTCAGGAAAGGGGGCGACCATTGCGTCTGCTGCGTGACGTTTTGGTAGTAGTACGTCTTGCCGGACGTTTCCTTTGCGTTAGCCCATCCGTCAGGGAGGTTGATCGTGTCCGGCTCAGCGTCTGGGCCTGGTATTCGACCCACTGTTAGTCTATGGTCAACTGCTGATAGCTGATCCACTGCAGGTCGCAGATCCGCTGCGAGTCCCCGAACAGCTGCTGGTCGCTGATCTCCTGCTGGTGCTCGCTCCGCTGCTGGTCGCTGATCGGTTGGTGGTTGCTGATCCTCTGCTGGTCGACGGTTCACCGCTGGTCGCTGGTCCCCAACTGGTACGCTGTCCCCTGCCTGCCGTTGATCCGCTCGTTGCTCTTCTGCTGGTCTTCGCTCCACTTCTGGTAGACGGTCCTCTGCTGGTCGCCGAAAACGATCTTCTGCTGGACCACGATCCACAGCAGGTCGCTGATCTTCTGCAAGTACGCGCTTCGTTGCTGGCCGCTGGTCGTCTCCTGGTATTGGCTTGACTGCTGGTACTCGATCCGCTGCTGGTCGCTGAACCGCCGCTGGTACGCGGTCCACTGCTGGTCGTTGGGCCTCTGCTGGTCGTTGATCCTCTGCTGGTATTCGTACCGCTGCTGTTACCCGGTCCACCTCTGGTCGCTGATCCTCTGCTGGTCGATGATCCACTGCTTCTTGCTGGTCTTCGGCTGGCACGTAGTTGCCCGTACTCGATCCGCTGCAGGCTCGTGGTGTCTTGGTGTCTTCGGGCTGGGCGTCCCGTCCAGGATCTTTGGACGGGTCCAGCCGTGGCGATGCTGCAGGGCTTCTCGGCGACGCAGCCCGAAGCGCTAGGTAGGGCGGGCCGCCGAGGGGATCCCTGTTTTTTTTTCCAATCTTCGAGTTTTTTGTGGGCTAGAGTGAAGTCGGGCGTGTCCCTCTACAGGAGGAATATTCCCCTAAAAGTCAAACAATAGTCTGGGGACCTTTTTTTAAAAGTATTTTCCGACTATGTCTGAATTCTTTTTGAGTATTTTTCACTGTCCGCCCCAGATCCGCCTGTAGGGGACATGCCCGACCTAAGTCTAGAGCCAGGGTCAACTTCGGGAAGGGGCGCCCGAGGGGACGTGGCCCTCTGACCGTCGGTGGCGGCGGCCGCCTGGGTCCCGTCCACGTCGTCGTCTTTCTCTAGGCCAGGCGCCAGAAAGACGTCCGGCAGGTAGAGCACGTCGTAGGCTTCGAGCTCGTCGTGGGCGGCGAGGCTCTGGTAGGCGTCGATCTCGACGTGGGCGCTAGACTCGTCGCGGTCTTTGATCTCGTCGTAGATGCCGTGCAGGGTCGCAACCTTTGCCACGATGCACCTGGTCTCTCTAAGCGTTGTTCTGCGCGCACGTCCCGGGTACGCTCGGCTCGGTGCTGTCGGGCTGCAGCCGACGTCAGCGCTCCTCGTAGGTGCTCATGGCCTGGCTCAGCTTCGCCACCACGTCGTAGTGGCTCCGGTGGTCGATCTTCGCGTCGACGTCGTCGTACTTGAAGGCGCCAGCTGTCGCGCTGCCAGCTCGGGCGCCTGCGGCGCTGTCGCGCCGCCAGCCATAGCGCCTCGCATCGCCCGCGCCGCGCAGCCCGCCGTGGGGCCCAGCGCGGCGATGTCTGTCGCGCGCCGCGTGCTGCGCCGCGCGCTGGCCCGCCTCACGTTCGGGCAGCTCCCCGGGGCCGCCCGCGGCCGCCTGGGCGCCATCGCGCCAGCGCCCTCGCGGACTCTGGCCAGCCCCCCTCACGGCGCGCGCGCGCGGCTGGGCCCGGCGCTGGGGGCGAGTGCGGGGGGTGTAGGCGTACTTCCCGCAGCGGCCCTTTCTCATGATGTTGCCGTTCCTCCTCCTCCTCTCCTCCTCCTCCTCCTCTCCTCCTCCTCTCCTCCTCCTCCCTCCTCCTCCTCCTCCTCCTCCTCCTCCTCCCCCTCCCCCTCCCCCTCCCCCTCCCCCTCCCTGCAAGCGCCCGAGACAGCGCGCTGGCGGCGCCGGCCGCGCCTGGCATCGCCATGGGGACGCTCCTGGTGGGGGTGGCGCTGGAGCTGGTGGCCACGATGCTCGGCACGGCGGGGAAGCAGCTGGTCAGCCACTCCGCCCGCCTTCCGTCGCGGGCGCGCGCCCGCGCGAGGCGGCTCAAGGCGTGCGGCCTGCTGGTCACCACCGCCCTCGGGCCCCTGGCCGACGCGATGGCCTACGCGCTCGCCCCGCAGTCCCTGATCGCCCCCATGATGGGCCTGGACGTCGTGTGGAACACGCTGTCGGCTCCGTTCACTCTGGGGGAGCAGCTGGCCTGGGCGCACGTCGTGGGTACCGCGCTGGTGACGTCTGGCGCGACGCTGACGGCCGTCTTCGGGCCGCACGACCACGAGGAGGCGACCCTGGAGGTGCTCAGAGCGCGGTTCTTCAGATGGGTGTTCCTGCTGTACTGCGCCGTCATGTGTGTTGGGCTGGGCCTGGGCATGTACGTTCTGCGGAAGCACCCGAAGGGCAGCACTGGCACGGCCCGGGCCGTAGCGCTTGGAGGCCTCGCGGGCTGCATCGCGGGGAACATGAGCTTCCTGAGCGCGGCGCTGAGTGCTGCGTCGACCTCGATCCAGTCGGGCGACTGGTCGGCCTGGGAGACGCCATTTCCCTACGCCCTGCTGCTGGTGGCGGTCGTAGTGGCGGTGTCGAACATACCGTTCATGTCGCGCGCCCTGCAGGAGTTCGAGGCCAAACACGGGAGAGCGGGGGGGATCGAGGCAGCCACACGGGAGGGGAGGGCGTTTTGGCATCGCTCGTCCTCGTCGATACCGTCGTCGTCGTCCTCCCCCTTATGCGAGCCGCTCTGAGGGAGGAGGGAGGAGGGAGGAGGGAGGAGGGAGAGGAGGGAAGGAGGGAGGAGGGGAGGAGGAGAGGGAGGAGGGTGAGGGAGGGGGTTTGGAGGAGGATAGTTGAGGAAGGAGTGAAGGAGGGGGAGGAGGGAAGGAGGGAAGGAAGAAGGAGGGGGATAGGAGGGAGGAGGGAGGAGGGAGTAGGAGAGGAGGAGGAGGAGGAGGAGGAGGAGGAGGAGGAGGAGGAGGAGGAGGAGGAGGACCCCACCTGCGCAGACGAGCGGCACCGACGGCGCCAAGCAGCTGGGCCCTCGCCGGCCACCGCTGCGGCACGAGTGTGGGCCGCCGATACCATCCACGTCTCCGGCCCGCCCGCACCTCCGACGACGTGCACCTGTGCCGAACCGCAGCCCCAGAGGCCCAGACCCCTCTCCTCTGTTCTAGGCCTCCTAAGTTGGGACCGTGTGGATGGGGTCGGAGGATCCTGTCGCATCGCCGATGCATCGACGATGCGACTCGATGTGGAGCTTGTTTTTCCCCACGCCAATGTCGCCGATGCATTGCCGACGTGGCCGATGCATCGCCGCTACATCGGCGATGCATTGGCGATGTGGCGCGCTCCTTCGACCACATCTACTCTCCTGCTTCCCCCTTGTCGGACATGTCCCTCTACAGGAGGACTATTCAGAACCGGTCCAAAGATAGTCCAGGGAGGACTTTTGACGACTATTTTTTGGGGGGGTCATGAACTTTTTGCCCAAAATCCGCCTGTAGGCGGACCTGCCCGAGACAGCCCTTTTGACTTTCTCCCTCTATGAGCACCTCGAGGCCCTCGTGGTCGACGCCGTCCTGCGTCGCGCGGCAGGCGCCGATGGGGGCCCGCGGGCCCAGGGTTCGGCAGCCTCCTGCATCCCTGCGGGCGGCGCGTGCCCTCGCCGTGGGGCTCGTGCTTGCTTCGGGGGCGGCCAAGAGGGGTCCTCCTCCTCCTTCCTCCTCCTCATTCTCCTCTCCTTCTCACCTTCTCCTCCCCCTCCCCCTCCTCCCCCCCCTCCTCCTCATCCTCCCCCTCCCCCCCTCCTCCTCCTCTCCTCTTCTCCTCCTCTCCTCCCGCCGTGCAGTTTTAGAAGGGAAGCAATGAGCGAGAGGAGAGAGGCGCACGGCGACGTCGTCCGCCGCGTCCTTGCTTTTTTTTTTTTTTTTTTCTTTTTTTTTTCCCTTTTTCCAGCTGTTTTTTTCTTCTTCTTGTTTTATTTTTTTTTCTTTTTTTTTTTCTTTTTTTTTTTTTTATTCTTTTTTTTTTCTTTTTTCCAGCTGGCACCCCGCAGACCTCGGGAGGGGACCAGTTCATGCAGGCGGCGGCCCGTCCGGCTGTCGCGGAGCTGGCCCTTGGGCTGTCGACGGGGTTGGTGCTGCGAGCCTCCGCTGCGCCCTGCCCGCCCTGCAGCTGCTCGCTGGAGCTGCACTGCCCCCTGTGCCCTGGCTGCCACCTCGAGGGCGGCCCAGGCAGCGTGGTCAGTGCTCCGCGGCAGGCGCTGTCGGTTGGCTGTCGCTGCGCTCGCACACGTGAAAGGTACCGTCATGGTTGGTCGGTTCTACCTCGTCGCCAACCCAGAAACCAAATCCCTTCTACTCCATTCTCTCCTTCCTTCTCCCCCCTCCTCCTTCAGCTTCCCTTCCTGTGTCCTAGTCCCTCCTTCCCTCGCCCTTCCTTCGTCCCTCGTTCGAGGCCCTCTTCATAGTGACCATCTTCGAGGGTTGCCACATCACAGTGGCGTGCGTCTCCGGCGACGTGGTGAACCAGGACATGAAGCATGCCGATTGGTGGAGATATTGCTTCTATGTGGCCGGCCTGCGCCAAGGCAACACCGCCCTTGCAGAGGAGGGTGGGTTGATGGGTTAATGGGTGCGACATGAGGAGGACGAGGTGAAAACGTTGGATAATATTTTGGGGACTGGGGATCTGGCATCCCTTCCTTGCCCTGTCTCCTCCTCTTCTTCTCACCCCTTCCCTCCCCATCATTTCCCTTCACCTTCCTTGTTCTCGCCCCCCCATACACGCCTCGCTCCCTCTAGTCCTCGTCGTCGTCGTCGTCGTCGTCGTCGTTGTCGTCCTCGTTGCCGTCGTAGTTTTGGGGGGGCCACGCCACTGCCCGCGTCGGACGGGCGGACGGGCTGGATGTCCGTCCTCACGATCGTCGCGGGGCTGGTCACCATCCAGGCCCCGCTGTTTCGGGGGCGGGTGATGGGATTTGGTAGGGGGAGGGGGGAGGAGCATGGATGCGGGATATTGGATGGGGGGAGAAGGGGCGTGGAGGGTGGGCGTGGGAGGGGGGAGGGAGAAGAGAATGCGTGGAGGGGGAGTGGGGGCAGACGGGAGGGAAACGCGACGAGGAGGAGAGACAGAGGACGAGGATGGCCTGCGGAGCAGGGTTGGGTCGATCGGCACAGGCTGCCTCGCCTGCTCCCGCCCATCACGGATGCAACCCCAAGACCCCACGCAGGCAACGGCCGCGCCTCTCTCCCCTCCCCTTCCCCCTCCTCCCCCCCTTCCCCTTCCTTCCCCCCTTCCCCCCCCCCCCTTCCCCTTTCCCCTCCCCCCCTTCCCCCCCCCTCTCCCCTCACCCCCCTCCCCTCCCCTCCCCTCGCCATCCGATGGCCAGCCATGGGGAACCGGCCCAGGCGCCAGGTGCGACGCACGCCCGCGCGGTGTTCCACGTGCGTCCGCCAGCGCCCAGGGCGCGCCCCGTGCGCCATGTGTGCTGTGCGGGCCGCCTGCGCCACGTGCGCCAAGCGCGTGCTAGGTGCTGCCGGCTCGCGCTGCGTACGCAGCGGGCGCGCGACGCGCGCAGCCTGCACAAAGGCGCGCCCAGGACACGTGACAGCCCCCATCGGGCAAGGTGCCGACCCCCGAAGTCCTTGTCGAACGCGAATGCAAGGTTCGGGAGGGACAAAAGCATACGGACACAATGAATCGTCGATTTCCCGGAAAATATAGGAAAATATGGGAAGTGGGGGGAAGGCAGAAACCCAGAACATATGGGAAAGTATGAGGCATCCTGGGATTTGTGTGTAATTTGTTGTGTGTCCCTGGGCCCCCTCAAAGGTGACAGCGCCAGGGAGGGCGCGATCCGCGCTGCTGCTTTCCTCGGTCTCCCTTCTCCCTCCTTCGGGGGCAGTCCTCTCAGGCACCCTGAGAGATCCCAAGCGAGTCCTCTTTAGGAGGGCGGGCGAGGGCGCGGGCGACCTCGTCGTCGTCGTCGTCGTCGTCGTCGTCGTCGTCGTCGTCGTCGTCGTCGTCGTCGTCGTCGTCGTCCTCTTCTAGGATTCTTTGCTGTGCTGTTCTTCCCTCGAGGTTGGCACGAATGGAATGGAATGGATGTCCTGTCAAGGTGGCCCGCAAGGGACAGGACTACGTGGGGCCCTCAGGGCTCGAAGCGAGACTTCACTGAACACGACACGAAATCTGACGTGAGATTGCGCCACGCATCTTCGCTCCCGACAGCACGTTGCCGCTCGCCCAGCCCCTGGTCAATGCAGAACCTAGAACCTGCGTGTGGTGTCTTCGGAGCGCATCCGCCTGCGACTGGAAGAGGGCGCGTCGGTTGAAGCGAGCCCCACTCGCCTGCAGCAGAGCCTCGAGGTCGGCACGCGAGAAGCTTCCACGGCCCCTCCGGGGACTTCTTTTGTGATCCGGGGGTGCCCGCAGAGGTTCGCTTCAAGCAGCACTCTGTGGCCTGGCCTCCCCGCCCCCCACCGCCCGCCAAACCATCCCAGCCCAACCCGAAGGCTCCGGTTGGCCCTCCACTTGCAGTGTGGGGGAGGGGTCGGGGGACATTGAAGAAGCACGTGTGGAACCCATAGCCCCCCCCCACCCGAAATTCGGGTCTTCGGGTCAGGTTGGGGTGGCTTGGTAGGAAGTCAGCCCCGCCCTCGGACGTCGGACTCGCCGTGACTCTTCGGTGACTATTACGTCTCGGGCACGTCTCTCTACAGGAGGAGCGAAGTCGGGCATGTCCCTCTACAGAAGGAATATCCACAGATATTCAGAACATAGCCTTGGGACGTTTGGTTTCTGTCATTTTTGGCCATTCTTCTGTTTTTTGGGGGCTATTTTTTATGTATCGTCCAGACTCCGCCTGTAGGAGGACGACCTAACCCCAGAAGCCCCGACCCCTTCCCCGAGGGTGTGTTGCGACGGTCTTACGGTCGGCGCCGCCGACCCAGAAGGACGACGATGACGACCACGACAACGACCACGACGACAACGACAACGACGAGCTGATGACCCTGCCACAAGCTCGGGACATGGGGCGGGCGGTGGAGGGAGGAGAAGGAGGAGGAGGAGGAGGAGGAGGAGGAGAAGGAGGAGGAGGAGGAGGAGGGGGAGGCGGAAGAGGAGGAGGAGGAGGAGGAAGAGGAGGAGGAGGAGGAGGAGGGGGCCCCGAGGGTGTATTTTGGCCTGGGCCATTTTCTGCTGGTGGCCACGGGCCCCAAAACGACCCCTGGCGGCAGAGCTCCTTGGGAGGAACGCCGGGGATTGAAACGTGTCAGGGCCTCTGGGCCCACAGCTCCCACTTCCTATCCTTCCAGCAGCACCTGGCGGAGCGGGGCCATTGTCTCAGGGCTCGGTTTCAGTCGGGCCTGTCCTTCTACACGAGGAATATCCAGAAATATCCCAAACTAGCCTGGGGGCTTTTTTTTTGTGTGTGTATGACTATTTTTGAATATTTTGGTGGATATTTTTTGACGATTTCCGATTTTTCGTCCAAAATCTGCCTGTTGGAGGACGCGCCCGACCTGAGGCTCGGCGTCTGCGGGTGATGCGGGGGGCCCCGGGCGGACGCCGAGGACGCTGTTCCTGGGCCCTTCCTTGAGGGCGGGCGCGGGCGCGGCGGGCCTGCGCCCGCGCCGCCCTGCCTCCGCCGCCGTCGCCGTCGCCGCGCCGACACTCAGCACCCCTGCATTTGAGTCGGACACGTCCCTCGTCGGGAGGGATATCCCCAAGTAGCGTCATGCCGAGGTGCAGATCCCTCATGCGTGCACAGCGACCTCTTCGGTCTTGATTCGGTGCGGGAGTTGCACTGCAAACGAGTCTTGCCAACGTTGTACCATCAGAAGAGCGGCATCCTCCGTTTCCGAGATGTCCACGTACGTGACCAGCTTGATGGAGCACGCGCCAGAAGCCAACCCTCCCCACCCCATCCCCGAAGAGCAACAGGCTGCGCAAACGTCTACTGCTGGAGGCCCGCGCGCCTCTCCCAGCTTGCCGCTGCCCCCCCCCCCCGGTGGAGGAGGGAGAGGTCCAGGGCTGACCTCAGGGATCCTCCGAACCTTTAACCTTGAATGCTCATGGTGGTTTTCTTGGTTTTGGTGCATGTTTTACGTTCCTCTGCTTCCGATTTGTGCCAGGAGCGACGCCTCGGAATGGCCACTGGGCTCAACGTGCACTGTCGCACACGTGGGCGGAAGACAACATCCCATACCCGCATCCACGGCCTCGCGGGACAGGCCCCTCAGGTCGAGACCCCGTGGATGCGGGTTTTGTTTTCCGAGGATGTCCCGCACACTCGCGGGATCGTGCCCCAGAGTCCAGGCCGCGAGGGCGTGCTGTGCGTCGCGTAACTGGGCGACGACAATCGAAGAAGGAAAAACCGCATAAACGTACACTTTTGGCCCTCCGCGCGGGTTTCTTGGATCCGCGTCTGGGCCCCCTGGCGGCGGGTCCGGCGCCGCCCCCGGCGCGCGGAGCGCGCCAGGAAAGGGGGTCCAGCGTGAATCCAAGAAATCCGCGCGGAGCGCCAAACGTTTATCTTTATGTTTTTCTTCCTTCTAGATAAACGGGGGGCAGCGAGGGCTGCAGAAACAGGGCCCTCGAGGGCCCTTCAAGGGTGCCCCCCTTAGGGCCGAAAAGGGGGCCTGCAGGGCCCGAGAAGTACACCTCTCTCCCCCCCCACGTGTCGCTCCCTCGTCAAACGACGCCCGAGCGTCGGATCTCGCCGGATCCTGCAGCGCCAGGGCTGCACTGACCCGGGGTGGCGTGCAGGATTTTGCCCAGGTCTGCATTGACCCAGGCCAGTAGAAGCCCGAGCGTGGATCTGGATACCGTCGCCGCTCGTGACGCACACGTTCGGATGCAACTCTTGGAAGGTCACATTCAAATTCTTCACGCTTCGCGTATCCCCACCAGCCCATCCCCAAACAGCAACTCCAGCGAAGCATGCCGACAGTCGTGTTTTTCAGGCGTATTTCTGCCTGCTCTCGCATATATACCCTGTTCCTATGTCCTCCTGCCGCCTTGTACATCCACCTAGTGGGTGGAGCGGGAGGAGGACGAGTCCGAGGAGGAGGAGGGAGAGAAGGTGTTGGGAGGGAAGACAGAGGGCGGTCGTCGTCGTTTCACACACGTGAACGAGTCAGAAGACTCAAATGACGGCGACGCCTCAGACGATGACGGCGACGACAACGACGACGACGACGACGACGACGTGGTCATCGGCAAAAAAAAAAAGAAGGTCATCGGCCCCCCCCCAAAAAAAAAGATTACGATGACAACGACGACGTCGGCGACGACGATGCAGGCGACGACGACGACGACGATCCAGCGTAATCCCCCGACCAGTTGTGCAGTGAGCGTAACTCGGCACGGATGGGCAGGTCTCCCTCTGAACGCATAGTACTAGTAGTAGAAGAAGTAGTAGTAGTAGTAGTAGGAGTCGTAGCAAGAGTAGTAGAAGTAGTAGTAGTAGTAGTAGTAGTAGTAGTAGTAGTAGTAGTAGTAGTAGTAGTAGTAGTAGTAGTAGTAGTACTAGTAGTAGTAGTATTATTAGGTATAGTAGTAGTAGTATTAGTAA